AACAAATCGTAACTTTCAAGTTCGTCAAAATGATTTTATGATTGAATATGGACATACATGCATAGTACCGAATATAATATTTTGATATGTACAGCAGAGTATATTTGCAAACTAATTTTGCTTTAGGTTAATGGAATCTGAAGAAACTCAAGGATTTGAAACAACTAATGGTACCGTATATTTATAACTGTCTCAACTAAACGCATCCGCTCGCAATATAAAGGCAATAACATTCATCAATTTCCAGTATGCCCATGGTGTAGAAACATAATCGTCTTGCCATGCATGGCTGAATGGGAGAACCTTTTATGTTATATATCAGGCAATTTCAAATGTGACATCCTTGACTCACCACCTCCCTTATCATCTCATGTGGTATGTCTGCCCAGCTGCCCTTTTGTCCATTCCGGAGAGTAGGAGGGGCGGGGCACTTTCCCCAAACTAGCCCCCGCTCAAAAGGCGCCCCCAAATCAACAAATTGTTTATACAAGATTACTTAACTAAGAAATATAAATCCTAGCTTTGTTTATAGTGCCAGATAATATGCAATAAAGTGTATATAATATAATATATAAAACACATACCACTTCTGTTTTACAATTATGACCTCATCAGGGTCCCCCTGGGAAAATTTTACCCTGAGCCCTGTGCAACCTCTCGGCAGCCCTGTTCTAAAAGAAGCACCGAAAGTAGATATTGCCCAGGTTTCCTGAATCTCAGACTTCTTCATGCAGCACCCTCCAAAAAAATTAAATGATTCCTTGGACCCCAAATTTACATTCTCTGCATTTGGCATGTTATTATTGATTAGTTGGTGTTAGCCTGAAACAGACCTATGTATTTGCCCACCCTAAAATTCATGGGTCGATGGATTCGACCGAACTGTGGAATCGCATAAAAAATTTGTATCGCCGCACTCCCACAAACATCTACGACCGCACCTACATATTTTTGCATGCATGTTTACAATTCTAAGTTTAAACAGCCAATTCGGTTCTTGGTAACAATTACAATTAAACGTCGATTGCTTGTTTAAAATTAGAATTGTATAAAACATGCAAAAATATGTAGGTGCGGTCGTAGATGTTTGTGGGAGTGGCGGCAATACAAATTTTTTATGCGATTCCACAGTTCGGTGAGTTCCGTAATAGTGTATACTGTATGTTTATTTTTCAAACTGGTTTGACATGTTTTTACAAATAGTCAATTGCATTTGGAAGTTCACATTCTGAATCAAGTATAACCAGAATGTCAGGCCTTTAAAGCAAACCCGGCCCTGTAAAGCACCCTCTGGAGAAATTGCACGCTTTCTAAAATGCAGATAAGGCCGGATCTGCCAATCCAGGTTGAAATCTATTTAATATCAACAATCCAAGTTGAAATCTATTTATCAACAATCCAGATTGAAATCTATTTATCAACAATCCATCTTAATTGAAATGTATTTATCAATGATTCTGCACTACTGTAGAGGCACTACTGTGATTGCCTGAAAACAGTATCTTCGAAGCTACATGCTATATATATATATGAAGTAAACAATGCGACACACTCTATTGTGTGTAGTTGGAATCTGATGGAATACTAGCTACTTGCATGAATTTGTATAATTATGTTGTTGTACGTGGGAAATTAACTATATACATATATAAAATGGCTGCAAAGAAAACTATAAAATTATGTATATGACTGTCTATATTTCAAAAACGTGCTTTGTCTTTTGGTTTCAAAGATTCATTTTTTGTGTTACATTCTGATTCAAGTAAATCTTTTACATTATATGTTTTTGCAAGTGTTTCCTCGTACCCAGGACTTCTGCACCTAAAAGGTGTTTCTGAGCTGATTCTCCAATCTGATTCTCCAGATTTCACTCTTGCCCAGACTTTTGCATGATCTTTATATTCTTGCAAATCTTAGCTTGCATCACTTTAAATGTCTGGATGTTAAACTAATTCCAAACTTCAAATGGGTTTCTTGCCCGATTTAAAACCATCGTTGATTTAACACATCACTTGAATCTATCTATCACAAGAGAAAATACATTTCATACCAATATTATATATTAATTTAAGCATGTAGTTCATGGCTTTGAAGAGACTTAAATTCAATAGCTAATGGGAAATCAGCAGCTTCTATACAAACATTAAACGTTCTCTATACATCCAGAGACCGTTTACACAATTAATTATGAATCTTGGTTTCGCTTTCAACAGTTACTTATTTCCCAACATGTATGCAATTTGTCAATATATATAATCGGGAAATATAGGAGCTTTTGCCGATTGTTATTGAATAACGCAGTAATTGGACTAGACTTGCCACAAGTCGACCTCGAACGAAACGCTGCCCATTTTAATTCCGATCACTTTGAACAACACGAAATAACCTAATGTGTGCCCTGTCTTTTTCCTGATCTATTACATATGGGGAGTATATTTGGGAGCCTTGAGTTTGAGACAGTGGCACTTTCCTGGCGACAGTAACTTCTATTGATCTTCAATGCATGATGACATGCATGAACATTCAGATCAATCAAAACCTTATAATCCAAACACATAACAGTTTGAGTTGGGAAGAAGGTTTAATAGACCTTTTTAAAAAGTCTGTCTTAGGGACCGGTCATTATTTATGGCAGGGGGTGGCACCGAAGAGAAAAGGGTTGGGTAAACAAAATTTTGAGTGAGTATAAAAGGTTGGGTAAATGAAAAACAAAACAACTCAAGGGTTGGGTAATAATAATTTCCAAAGCATGACTCACTGAAATATTGGAGACTAAAAAGCAATGTCAACAGTCATATGTCAATACAATATGTGAATCAATCGGAGTCACTATCTTGATCACTGTTTTTCAATTTGTTGGGAGACAAATGGTGTCTCCAAAGAAAGTACATGTGCAGACAACATGAAACTTTAGTCTGCAAAAAAATTCACAATCCGTTATCAAACTCATGTCACAGAAGTGGCAAGGGACATGTGTGACAACTGAATGGTACCTTTTTGTAAAGTTTTTGGCCAGGGGTGAGTATTTATTTTTTAATTGATATTTGAGGTTGGGTAATCAAATTTTTTACTTTTTAATGGTTGGGTCAGCAAAATTTTTGCCATGAAAAACATTTCTCTTCGGTGCCACCCCCCACCATAAATAATGACCGGTCCCTTAGCTTGTGACGTAGTTTGCGAATAAAGGAAAACCCAGCATAGCCATTTGGCTTGCCTGATTGGTCGTATTTATTCGCAAACTACGTCACAAGGCAAACTTTTTAAAAAGGTCTATAGGGTGGAGAGACTTAATAATTTTTATTCCTTCAAAAAGGTGGGATTATTTGAGACGGGGGAGCCGCGGAGTTTATTAGTTAATAGACTGCCCTGTCTTATAACGTCTTAGTTTATTCGTGAAGCCAGCAAGGGGAGAGTCTTAAGCACATAAGCGTATGAGCACCCCCGATGAAGTTTGGCAAATTTCGATAAGTCGTACAAAGTGCACAAAGTCGGGTAAATCTAGCCTGTCTGCCCCCTATTTTTATTTCTCCTGCACGCCTATGCTTGGGCAACAAGCATGCATGGGTTAAAGCAACATGGAACATATTCCTGTTTTTAGTTCTATATATAATGTTTTTAATTGTTTAGACGTTTGGCTATCTAAATTGTTACAAATATGTTAGTTTTCATACAAAGAGGATTACCTAATTTAGGACAACTTCAAGCACTTTTAAAATTTAGACGTTACACATTTGGATGACTTGCTTTTTATTCTCAGTTGCAGCGAACATACTGTGTGAATTCTTGGAGGTTGCCATTCATCTTATTCTTTACATGAGAGAAATTTATCCTGCTGAGATATTTGAAAAGCGAAAGAAGTACAATGTCCCTGTACAGGTATTAACAGAGCCTGAAATAACGTTCAAAATTTGTCTGGAAAAATGTCCAACCAAAATGAAATTTGATCTTGGTCGGACATTTTTTCTATTCCATTTTGATTTAAATTCATGTCTTCGTTGGGTGAATTAAGCCAATATATAAATAATACTTCATGCCAAACACTAGCCAGTAATCTTTTACATTTGTTTTTTACGGATGCAGCTTATGGTTAACCCAGTCTTTCAAGAAGGTTGATTGTTAATTTTTGTCCAGACAAAATGTCCGACCAATTTAGCATTTGGTCGGAAAAACTGTGGTTTGGTTGGAAAATGTCCGACCGTTATTTCAGAGGGTGGGAAAGGGTATTTTCGTGAGCCGTGAATGGTCAATATTTGTTCGCGTGAAATGTGAAATGCTTGATTTTAGTGTCGTGAAATGTGATTTGTTCTACAGCCGTGAGGCGTGATTGTTGATAAAAATGGTCCGTGAAATGAGAATTAAGGATGCCTGTTTCGTGAACTGTGATTATTATAGTGATTATTATAATAAACATGATACGCGATAATCAAATTTATATGATCTCACTCGATTGCACAAGAGTAAAAACTTCAGAGGCCTTTTGCGAGGTTCCTGGCGCTGAGGACAAGGTTCGATCCTGGCGCTGAGGACGAGGTTCCTGGTGCAGAGGATGAGGTTCCTGGCGCTGAGGACGAGGTTCCTGGCGCTGAGGACGAGGTTCCTAGCGCTGTGGACGAGGTTCCTGGCGCTGAGGACGAGGTTCCTGGCGCTGAGGACGAGGTTCCTGGCGCTGAGGTCGAGGTTCCTGGCGCTGAGGACGAGGTTCCTGGCGCTGAGGACACGCACGGAGGTCGTCGTACATTCTCGTCACTCAAACTTGTAAGTTGTGATGTAGTTTTTAACCACAGTAACAGGTAGAGAAATTAGAGAACTTAAAGCGTAGATACTGTACCATGCATTAAACATAGTCTTAATAAACCTATTATTATATTATTTTATGAGAATCTAGTTTTCCGTGAAATTGCTTTTTTAAGACACGTGAATTGTGAAATGGCTTTTTTTGTTGTTGTGAAACGTGATCCATACCCCCCCCCCCCCCCCCCCCCCCCCCCCCCCC